TTTATAAATTATCTTGAAAAATTATCAAATACAAATATTTAATGTTAACTTCAACAGGGAAAGCTAAAATACAATTTTACTACTTAACAATAAGAAAATCATTAAATGATGGGCATATTCTTACAACACAATAACCCATAGCCATTACATAAGTTCTCAAAATAACTCATGGTGTAGGTATTCACAATGTGATTCTGAGTGAAAAGGGCAAAACATAAAACAATATTAACAATTTTGTTTTTAAATATGTTTGCAACAGAAAGAAAAGCCACCAAATGTTTGCAGCAATTACCTCAGATTACTGAAAATGGGGTATTTTTATAGTCTTCCTTTATTTCCAGTTTTCTACTATAATCAACTATTATGTTCACAATCAAAAAAAAATACAACAACATCCATTTATTATTAAACTTTAAAACTCTAGGAATTAAAGAGAACTTCCTCAGCTGGATCAACAGCTAACTACTCAATGGTAAAAGACTACATACCTTCTCTACAAAGTTGAAGAGCAATGCAAGGATATCTGCTCTGATGTGACTTATTCCAGTTTACCTAAGTAGAGGTCCTAGCCAGTGCAATGAGACAAGAAAACAAAATAGAAGGCAAACAAATGAGAAAATGTGAAATAAAGTTGTCTCTACTAGCAGACAGCAGTAGCAACAGAAGTAGCTACAAAAGCTACTAGAACTAATTTGTGAGTTTAACAAGGTTGCAAAATTCAAAAATTTAAGACTGATATTAAAAGGCTGATGTACTTATATAAATAATTGGAAATTTAAAAAATTTCAAAGGTTACCATTTAAACAGCACCAAATAACATAAAACACTCAGATACAAATGTAACAAAATATGTGCAACATTTTTATGCTGAAAGCTTAAAAACAGAGAGGAAATCAAAGACCAGTACATATAGAAAGGTTTTCATTTTGTTCTCTCTCTTGAAACAGGGTCTTACTCCTTTGCACTGACTAGAGTGCAGTGGCATGTTCACAGTTCACTGCTGCCTCAACCTCCCAGGCTCAATAAATCCTCCTACCTCAGCCTTCCAAGTAGCTGGGACTACAGGTGCAGGCCAACATGCCCAGCCCATTTTTCTAATTTTTATAGAGATGGGGTTTCACCATGTTGCCCAGGCTACTCTCAAACTCCTGGGCTCAAGCAATCCTCTCACCTTGGCCTCCCAAAGTGCTGGGATTACAAGCATGAGTCATAGTTAATATCAATTACAACATTTAAATTTCAAATTAAACTTAAATTTCCTGGCTATGTGCCAGGAAAGGTATTTAATTAACAGATTAAAAAACAATGTTTTTAAGATGTCAATTCTCCCCAAATTGATCTATAACTTCAATGCAATCATAATAAAAATTCCACAATGTTTTTATATAGAAATAAAGAGATTCTAAAATTTACATGGAAAGAAAAAGAACTAGAACACTCAAAAATTTTTGAAAAATAAGTTTGGAGGACTCAGGTTTTTTGACTTCAAGATACACTATAAAGCTACAGTAATAAGGACTGAAATTTTGGCCAAAGAGTCACACAGAACAATGGAACTTAGTCCACAAAGCAATCCACACAAACAGTCAACTGATTTTTGACAAGATAAGCCAAGGCAATTTAATGAAGAAAAGGTAGTAAGAATACTCTTTCCAACAAATGGTGCTGCAAGACTGGGGCATCCATACACACATACACATACACACACAACACAGAAAGAGAGAGAGAGAGAGAGTGTGTGTGTCTTGATGCCTACCTCACACTATATGCAAAAATTAACTCGAAATTCATCACAGACCTAAATCTAAAACCTAAGGCTATAAAAGTTCTGGAAGAAAATCTAAGAAAAAAATCTTTGCAATCTTGGATTAGGCAAAATTTCTCATGATAAAAAAAGCACAAATCATTAGAGAAAAAACTGATAAACTGGACTTTATCAAAATTTAAAACTTCTGCTCTCTGAAAGATACTGTTAAGAAAATGAAAAGACAAACTACAGACTCAGACTCAAAGGTAATACTGTGAACATATATTTGATAATGGATTTATATCCAGATTGTACAAAACACTTGCAAACCAATAAGAAAACAAACAACCCAATTAAAAATGAACAAAAGATTTGAGCAGACACTTAATAAAAGAAGATACACAGATGGCAAATAATAGCACAGGATAAGATGCTCAATATGTTAAAAGAAAAAATCAAATTAAAACATAAATGAGTTTTCAATAAATGCATACTAGAATAGCTAACATTAAAAATAAAATAACAAATGTTGACCAGAACGTGGAGCAACTGGAACCATCAAACGTCACTTGTGACAATGCAAAATGAAACAGCTACCTTGAAAAACGTTTGGTAAGTTCTCATAAAGTTATACATGCACTTGCATATGGCCCAAGAATTCCATTCCTAGATGTTTAATCAAAAGAAATGAAAATGTATGTCCACACAAAGACCTGTACCTTAACGTACAAAGAACAGCACATGATTGTTTACAGTAGCTTCATTCCTAAATGCCAAAAATTGTTCAATTGGTGACTAAACATATTATGATATATTCACACAATGAAATACTATTCAGCTGTAAAAAAAAAAATAAACAAAGCATCCACAAACATGAATCAACATGAATGAATCAAAGCATTAAGTAAAAGAAACCTGAAACAAAAGGCTACATACTGTATAATTCCATTTACATAACATTCCAGAAAAGACAAAGCTATAAGGACAGAGAACAGATCAATAGTTGCCAGAACCTATGGGTGAGGGGAGGAAACCTTAACATGATGGGAATGTTATTTGTCTGGATTGTGGCAGTGGATCCATGACCCCATGTGTTTGTCAGACTTTATACAGCAATATAGTAAAAATTATTTTTTATTTATAAATCGTATCTCAATAAACCTTAATTTTTTTAAAAAAAAAAAAAAAAAGCAACAAATGTCCTTTTTAAAAATATGTATCATTTAAATGAGCTAACCCAAACTTACTGGGTATGGGAATAGGGCAGGGAGAAACAGTAAGGAGACCACAAGTCCTTAAAACTCTGCAAATCTAAAAAATTAATTTATCATTAGTATATCAGAAACATATGCATAAACACAAAGAGTTAAAGAGAAATACCTTCTTCAATTAAGTTCTCATTGTTTGAACAGAAAATAACAAAATTTGATAAACTTTCAAGGAAGATTAAAAAATAATAAGCAACAGGTTGGTAAAGGAATGCTGTAATTATGATCTAGAGTTTGGAAACAACTTATCTAATACACTCCCCTTCCATTTTTCTTAATGCAGCCAGTCTTATCCACCCATCCATTCTATTCCATTCCCACGGCGTCTTCTAGTATCTTCATTTGTAACAATCATATATAATGATATAGATAAGAGTACAACATAAAATGCCTATTACGCAAATTTCCTATTTGTTCATTTAAGCTCCAGACAAGCTCATCATTAAATTTCTTTTTTTTCTTTTTTAATGCCACCCAAAAACAAAGTGACATCCCTCTGCGAAGATTTTCTACAGTTTCTTTTGTCTGTTATTAAGATGATGAAAATAAACAAAAACGTCTCAAGTTTTAAATGGATCACTCCAATAAGAAGCTACATTTTTCCATTTAATAAAAGTTAAGAGGTAAGTTGTACTTTCATCACTTTGTTTTCTTTGTTTATTACATTGGGCTTATACTGTTACTAGGAAACCAGTTCATAAGATTTCCCAGCCCACAGAACACTCTCCTAGGCAGCCTGGAGGATATCAAACTTTGTAAGCAGGGCAATTCTCTACCACACAGTTTACTGGTTAGCCAGCACCATGCAGGTGCACTCTGCCTGGCATGCCCCTTACTACATTTACCTAATAGGTACAGACAGTATAACCAATCCCCTCAATGCACCAGAAATTGTAGCAGAGGGCAATGCGGTGATCGTTAAGTGCAGAAGTCTCCGACAGCAGAGAATACAACAGCGAATTTGTTGTCAGTCCCTATCACCCCACTCAACTAAATATTGCGGGGGGGGGGGTCCTTAAATTGTGAAGTGAAATGTCAGCCCACTCCAATAACTCCACCACGCAACACGCAAACTGCTTCCAAAAACCATCATCCAGCTCTCACCCGGATTAATATCTGGAGAGAATGGTGGCATCAGAATCCGCACAGCTGAGAGAGGAGGGAAGGAAAGAGTCAGAATTCGTAAGGGGCTGCTGAGTCACCTAAAATTATGGCCAAGACTTCACGCTCCAGGAAATCAAGCTCTGTCCCAACTCTCATCAGGGAAGCAAGTGAGAGTAGCAGCAGCAACATCATCCTACCAAAAAAACACTCAGTGCTGCTTTTAATAGAGTTCCACTCCTTAAAGTGAAGCCAAAATAGGGTTCATATCCAAAGCTTTCCTCTGCAGCAGGCGACACACGCACATGGAGGAAATATCCTTATTGTTGGGAAAGGGAGGAGCGCTAACGGAGATGAAGGATATACCTCACCACTTGGCAAAGTTACTGGCTCCTGCCCTGACCCCGAAATGCCACTTTTATTGCAACATGTGACCGAAGGAACTATAAGGAAATGTAGCTGGCGAACGCTGTAGAGCTTTTACCCGGTGCACTTGGCAAAGTAAAAGGGGACACATAAACCAGGCGCGTTCTGTGAAACCTAAGCAAGAACCGAGGTCTCCGTCCGGTAGGAGCTTCGGTGACACAATAGTCACGTGTTCCTGTGCGCAGACTTTCGAAAACACTCCATTCTGGAACGTGCAGGTACCGGTACCTACCGAGGAACGCAGAAACAAGTGGGCACTCCCAACCGCGGGAGCTGGCTCAGTTCCAGCGGGAGGTTGGTCACGCCCCCTGACTCCCGGCTGCAGCGACAGCCCAGGGCGAGGCCGGAGCAGGCGGCGGAAGCTCGGCCGCGCTCCTCCCCCGGGTGGGGCGCTCTCAGCCCGCCTCACGCGGCCCCGGCCCCAAGACCCAGGCCCCGGAAGGCGAGCGTTGACTTACCTGCTCCTCTTTCTCGCTCTCTGCTGCCGCCGCTGCGCCGCTAGCCCACGCTGCCTGGTGAGCCACCCCCAGCACACAGACCCCTACGCGCACACCCGAGCCACGGCCCTAGGCCCTTGAGGTGAGACGGCGGCCCCAGTCACTAGAGTTGGGGTAGCCCACACACCACTCGGCTTCTAACACCTCTGCCCCCGGAAGTTGATTTCCGCCAAGGCCCGCCCAACCTAGCGCCCGTCACTCAACGTAAACACGCGCGTCACGTGGCCCCTGACCGAGGCCCGCGTTGGGCCCCGTGTGGAGAGCCCTGCTACTCCAGCTTCAGCATGGTCTTTGGAGAGTTGCCCTGCGAAACGGGGTGACTTTGCCTTGCTCCTTCCCAGTCCACCTCCTGTTAGCTAGTTTCTCATTCCTCTTGAGTGGCAGGCCCTGTTTCTCTACCTAATTCCTGCAAATAAACCGTCACCCCTAATCAAAATGACTTCCATCCGGAACTCTGTAGGATTGGTCCTAAGAAGAACTCGCTGAATCTCTTCACCATTTCCAAGCAGTGTACAGTAAAAACGGCGACTAAGCAAAGTGCCTCACATGTAGCAAGTGCTCAAGAAACGGATGTTGACTAGATGCTACCTCTCATCTTTGCCTATCTGAACTCTCAAGCACTGAATGCAAGTATGCTGAGGCTCCGTGGAGCAGGAAGATGACTTCAGTCAAAGAATTCTGCGCTAGAATTACTTTTGTTCTTGCCTTCAACTACAGATCACAGCAGTTCATACATGCCATCTCTGTTGCAGAGTTTTCTTTCAAAGCCTTTCTTAGAAGCCTTCTGTCAAGTAGCTTCTCCTGAAGCAATAGGAAAAGAATAGCATAATTCACAGATTTGTTATTTGAAAGGAAGGAATGATTATATAGATGTCTTTGTCCATTTCGGACTCTCAATAGCAATGAGAGAAACAGTCAACTAGCAGTTCACTCGTTAGTGTTTCTTCCGTTTTTGCCATGGGAGGAATTTGGAGAACATTCATTCAACAATTTTTTAGTGATTGTATACCACATACCTAGTTCTGGGCGAAGTTTTGACAATTCAAGAGTGGACAAGGTAACACTGAAGATGTTTGTCTTCTAGGAGCTTACAGTCTAGTAAGAAACAAAGACACTAACCTGGGGTCTTTGAGCATAAATCTCTGGAATATTCACATTCCTTGTATAACAAGTGTTCTTTAATCCTTGGACATTGGGAATCTCATCTGTTGAACAAAATTAGCTCAAACCTGTAATCTCTGTTCTGTACTGGAAGCAGAAAATATTAGCAAGGCATCCTGACAAGTGTGCCATAAGTGCTGGCCTAAGTAGTTAATGAGCAGATTCAGTATTGAGCAGGTCACCTTGACTACATTATTTTTCCAGCCCACCCTCTTATTTGTGCATACAGAAAACATTTCTCTTATAAGAAATGTAATGCTTTCTTACACATATTTGTCAGCTACACCACCAAGTCAAGGACCACTTCTCACTTGTATATCCAGCAATCTACTCACTTCACTTTTGTCTTTGTATATCCAACAGCCTAGCAAAGTCTCTAGTAATTAGAAAAAGAAGTATTCAATAAATATCTCTTAAACCTAGTAAAGCTACCTTTATATTATTTTGTCTCTCATATCTCTTTCTGCTGGAAACTAGGTGAGTTTCTCAGAGTTCCTTCCCACTGATGTATCTATATGTTCACTCTGTCCCAATATTCAATATTAAATAATATTCAATACTTAACAGATTTATAAGAGTAACTAATATTTATTATTAATATTTGCTATGTGCCTGGTATTAGACTAAATATTTTAAGTCCCTTACATAACTTACAGTAATTTTACAAAGTAGGTATACTAATATATTTACACCTTAGATGAAGTTAAAGATTTAGGAAGTATAAATTCACCAAGTAGATTTAAAGCCAGATCTGCCGAACAAAAGGACTTTGTATTCACTATAGCCCATCACTTTGCTTTTAATATCACTTGTTTATCGGTGGATTCAGATGCTACCAACTCCATGAAATTTTTCTCCATTCCCCACAGTAATCTGTCTTTTTTTCTTCATAAAGTAGATAATACAATGATTTTAGTATGTTCACAGATTTCTGCAAGCTTCACCACAATCAATTTTAGAATATTTTCACAGCCCTGAAAAGAAACCCCATAACCTTTGGCAGTTACCCCCAACTTCTCCCAAGTTTCTCCCTTCTCTCCCCAGCCCTAGGAAACCAGTAATCCATTTTCTGTCTGTATGCATTTGTCTATCCTGAGCATTTCATATAAATGGATTTATACAATGTGTGGTCTTTTGTGACTGGCTTTTTTCACTTAACATGTTTTCAAAGTTCATTTATCCCTTCATCAGTTGAGTTCTTTCTACTTTTTTACTATTATGAATAATGCTAATATTGATATTCATGTACAAGTGTTTATGTCAACATATGTTCTCATTTCTCTTGGATATATACCTAAAAGTGGAATTGTGGAGTCGTATAGTAACTCTATATTTAAACTCTTGTGGAACTACCACTTTCCCAACGTGGCTTACTTTCTCACCAGCAATGTATGAGGGCTCTAATTTCTCTATTGTGCCTTTTCTTCTCTCTTCAAGAATATATGCCTCTCTTACTTTTCAGAATACTTTTTCCATGAGCCATCTTGAATTATCTTCCCTTGTTGTACATGTATCTGCAAGCCCATTTTTCTAATAGTTTTTGACCTTCTGAGATGAAAATCATGATGCCTGCCCTCAAGAGAATTACATGTGGAAAAAAATACAATCAAATCAGATATTACAGTAATAATAAGCACTGAAAGTACATTGCTAAAATGTGGAGAAAGAACACCTCACTCAGCCTAGCTTAAACAGGAAGTACTTCTCATAGAATGTATCAAAGCTCAGGATTAGTCTTGAAGAATCAGTTGGACTTGACCAAGCTAAGGAAAGACATGAGTATGCTCCAGAAAAAGGAACATATACCTTTGTATATATTTCCTTGTCTATGAACTGTGGAGATAAGTATATTTTGCAGGTAAGCATACTATAGAAGCAAAAATCGTTACATGTAGTTCTGCAGCCAGAGAAATGGGAAATGTAGATGGCCAGATGATGAAGAGCTTTGTAAACTGTGCTAAGGAATTTGACTGTATCCTGATGGTAGTGGGAAATTGTTGGATTAGTTAAGCAAGGTTGGGGAAGAATTACTTAAGCAACAGTGTAGAGGAAGGATTATTGGATAGAAGAGAGGGGACCAAGACTAGAAAAACAGAGAAACCAGTTAGAAGCCATAAAATAACTAAAATGAGGAATTAATGACTGCCTGAGCAAAGATTGGTAGCCATAAAATTGGTAGAAGGATTTTAAAGGCACATCAGCAACAAAAAAAGAGGCAAGAAGCCAGGCACGGTGGCTTATACCTGTAATCCCAACAGTGTGGGAGGCCGAGGTGGGAGGATCACTTGAGCCTGAGAGATTGAGGCTGCAGTGAGCCATGATTGTGCCACTGCGCTCCAGCTGGATGACATAGCAAGACACTGTCTCAAGCAAACAAACAAAAAAGACAAAGAAGAAGAAAGAACTGAAGATGTATTCCACGTTTCCAGCTCTAGTCATAAAGGTAGAAGATTCAAAAGGAAAATTGGGCACTTAGTGATAAGAATAATGAAACACTGTCTTAGTTTCTTCAGGCTGCTATGAAAAAAAATACTGGGTAGCTTATAAATGCAAATTTATTTCTCACATGTCTGGAGGCTAAGAAGTCCAAGATTAAGGCACCAGTAGATTGAATGTCTAATGAGGCCCTGCTTTCTGGGTCATAGATTGTGCCTTCTAGATGTGTCCTCGTGGGGTGGAAGAGACAGGCAACCCTCTGGAGCCTCTTTTATAAGGGCACTAATCCTAGTCATGCGGCATCTGTCCTCATGACTTACCTTCCAAAGGCCTCACCTCCTAATGCTATCTCATTAGTTATTAAGTTTAACATATGAATTGTGAGGGGACAAAAACCTTGAGACCACAGCAGAGGTAGGTTGCAGGAATTTAAACTGCCATTGAAGTTTATATGCTATTGCAGTCACTCACAGAAATGAGATGAACATTCATGCAAAGTTTGGCTCATATTTCAAGACTTAGCATACCACATATGCACCAACAGGGTATAAAAAGGTTTATTACTCACATAATAAGGCTTTCTAGGAAGGGTAGAGCAAACTTCCTAAGCAGGTTTTAAAATGACATGAGAGTTAGGAGAAAAAGCAGTTGGGATTTTTTTCATGGCTAGGATATGACACTTGGGCAAAAAAGCCCACACAGGGTAGGGACTATATGGCTTGAATTTTCTACCAGTACCAAAATGGGAAACACCTATTTAGCACCATATCTGGATCTGGGTAAGCTTTCTTATTAGGTTGCCTAGATCCAGATATGCTACAAAAGGGAACAGGTGAGGAACAGGACTTAAATCTTGATGTAAAATATGAAAAACATAAAATGTTTTAAAACATAAAACAAACATAAAAAATGATGTCAGACACAATTACATATCCTTAGATCAAGTTTAACTCCAACTAACAATATAGTTGTTACATATTTATATGCTTTGAAAGTGATTATAACGGACACTGTAGCTGCTATCCCAACATTTATTAAACTCTTCCCATATTGTGCAGAGTACACCTAAGAAATTTAAGTGAAATTAACCTATCTATCTCCAAAGTTAGTCCAGTTAAGATAGCCCAATCCCAGGCTGCGTTGTTCCCCTGGCCACAAGAAGTTGTTCAGGGTTGAGCAAATCAGCACCAATTACAGAACTTTTGCCGTAAAATTGTGGGGTGTGGCTCCTTTTTCTCCCTTGATATGAATAAGAAAGCATATGGTTCTTGTTACTGAGGGCAGTCATCCTGTAAGCAAGAAAATTAAAAAGCTGGAACCCTGATCAAATAAGCAAAGATTTATAACTTTGTTTATAAGAACAAGGATATAAAGAGTAAACTGTGAAAGGTTTAAATAAACACTTTTCTGCCTCCTTCCTTTTTAATCTTGTTTCTTCTGTTATGGCAGCTTTAAGTCAAATTAATATAGAGGTTGATTTTTCTACTTGACCTCACTGGTACTGAATAGTAGTTAAGTCAGTTTGAATTTGTTATTATTATACTTCACCTTAAAATACTTTAGTGCCTATAATGAGATATAA